TCTTTTATTTACAGTCTTTTCCGTTTTTACCCCTGTGGGGAGTTACTTTGATGTTGTAGCCCAGAGGGCAAGTATGTACTTTCTCTTCGCTTGATTGGAGACCTATAAATGGTGGTCTCATGTGATGTAAAAGGGTTAATGAATATTTGAATGAAATCTAGTTTGTTTCTTTTCTTTGTCTTCTTGCATGAGAGCCTGAAGAAAGAGAGAGAGAGAGAGAGAGAGAGAGAGCTCAAAGGGAGCAATTCGCAAGGCCCACCAATCGTTGGAAGAGTCCTCGGTTCGTGGTTAGATTCTTCTATCTTCGTATTCGTATTCACATCCATCTCCTTCCCCTCCACTACAAGAAATCCCTCTTCAACCCCTTTTGCAGCCACCCCTTGAGAACCCGCCGCCGACCTCCATCACCATCCCAGCCGACCACCTTGCAGGCCAATTTCCCCACCTCCTTTTCCTAGTTCCCATAGGAATTTGAATTTCAAAATTCAAATTCTTTCCAAAATTGGAAATTCCATTTATGGAAATATTTTTATGAATTCAAAATAAAATAAAAATTTTTAGATTTATTTAAATACCTTCCTAGTCATCATTCACATTAAGAAACTGTTTTCCTCCTCTCTCTAATCTCTCTCTCCTCCTTCATACCGCCGGCCCCCTATAATGGGTTCCCCATTAAAGAGTGCAATTAAACCCCCACCATATTTGAACTCCAATATGAATTCAAATATTTCCCCTCTCCCATTGTTTTAAAACTGAAATCAATTTCAGTTTTTAAATCCTCCCTCCCTCTCTACAAGCCGCCGGCCCCCCTCTTAATGGGCTTCATTAAGTTCTCATTAAGCCCCCTTAATTACATTCAAAATTTGAAATTCATTTCAAATAATTCCCTCTAAATTTACTAAAACCTGAAATTAATCTCAGATTTTATTAAACCTCTTGTTACAAGCATCCAACTTACTTGTCCCTAACCCTAGCCCTCTTCCTCTTGCACCCGCCGACTCCCACCCTCTCTCCTTGAGATTCCCGCCGGCCTCATCCCCTCTCTCCCACCTTATCAACTACAAGTGCTCTCTTTCTCCACACCGGTTCTTCCTCTCTTCCCGAGAAAGATCCTCCTACGCCAAGCATGCATGGCGGATTCAGAGTTTGAGTGGGGATTAGTATTCGACGCCGACGGAAGCATCAATATCCTCCGATCTCCGTGCTTTGACGTAGGATTTGAAGACGACGCCACAGTTGACGAATATTTGGAGCGAGTCGTCCCGATTCTTGTGAGCACCATCAACCAACGATTCTCAACCTTTCCATCAACGAGGTTCTTCGGTGCCGCTTCTCTAGTGGTAATATCCTTCATCGCTTGGACCTTCTTTCTCCGCTAAAAGCCTACTAATAATTGAGTGAGACGGCCCTCGACGTGAAATTCTCATTGTTAAGCGTTGAGTTTTTGTCAATCGTACTTTGCATTTAAATTCCCTTGAATTTTGAATGAATTGTCGTGGTTAATCTCTCGTGTACTTCTTTGGGACTTAAGCAAGTTAAAAGTTTCTAATTCCTAACTCTCTCTTATTGCTAGCTTAAATTTGAAAGAGCAAAACTTTAATCTTTTCAATTTAATTTCTGAAATAACTCCTAGTAGTTTCACATCAATGCTCTTATAATCCAATTGGTAACTTTAGAATCTTCATAACTGTTTAAATATATAAGATATAAAAAGTGACAAGAAGCACTATTGCAAGTGAATCTTCAACAAGGCCATTAAGTAGCAAGCTAATTAATACATTTACTCTGATAACACTCACTAGGAAATGTGGATGAAAGAGGGAATAAAGTTGAGTTCCATATATCAGTGATCAAATCTATTTAAAATATCAATGATCAAATCTATTTATCGCAGGACAGAGACCTACAAGAAGCTTGAATCTTCCCTTAGTAATATAAAAAAAAAAAATCATTTTTCATTGTATATAAGAAGGATCGTTTAAGAATTTAAAAAGTGGTTTAACATGAGAATTTTTTGTTTAAAATTCCAAAAATGTCGTTTCAAACTTTACTTAGGCAAAGGGAATAAAAGCAAATGGAGTTTAATTAACTGTGGAGAAAGGTTAAAAATCGAATTCTAAATTTGCCAGTTCGAACTTAGGCAGGAGTAGACTCAATTAAATTTAAATTAGTTAACAAAAAGAACTTTATTGTGAAAGTTTATATAATCCAGTTCTAATTGATTTTTGAATTTTCATCTTCCAAATTTAATAGGTGAAGACGCATAGAGTTATCTCGTCTACCAATTTGATTCGAAGACTAATGTTTTTGATGTTGTTCCATCAAAAGAGGAGCGAAGGCATCAATTGCATGGGATGATGAATATGGTAGAATTAATCATGGCTTCCTTAATGCTAACATTATTCTTATATGCCTAGTTTTGATGGAATTATTTATTTTGCAAATGATTGCATTCTTAAGCTGTGAAAATTTTATTTGTACATATATGAGGATAACTAAAATAAATATTAGAAAACTTGTTGAATATTTGATGGTGATTTTTTTAAGATCTCTAGGTGGATATTGAAAAAATTTAAAAAAAAAAACCAAATTTGCACAAGTCTCCAATCAGTTGTGTTCAGAAAATTTTTCTTGCCATAACACAATTTATTTTTAGATAGTTCTTTTGATTTATCATGAGAATTTTTATTTTTTTAATAAAAAAATTTATTGATAAATCGCAAAACAAACTATAATTCTAATATAAAATAATAATAAATTACTAATAAACTCATTCTATGGATCTACTAATTATACTTCAAATTTTCTTATTAAAATAAAAAATATTAACATATAATAAATAATAAATTTTTATTGAAACATTGAAACCATTTTTTTATGCTTTATTTCATTTTTTTTAATTCTAGCAACATACACTTTGTATATGTGTAATTAAATTAGTAAATACAAAAGTCATCACATAGCACTCAACCAAACATACCTTAAAGATTGTCATATACTGTTTTTTTTTTTTTTAGGGTTTATGATAGACCGGTGTTAGACCGGTCAAGGAGGGACCGGCCCGCATATATGCCAGGCATAACCAAGTTCCGCCCAAGCCAAATCCCGCACCCCTTGGGGTGGGGTCCACGCCTTAATGCATTGGAGAAGGGGGCGGTTTGGAGGGAAGTTCAAATTAGGGAGGGCTTCTTTGGTATTTGCCATGTAATTGTATGCTTTAATTAGTAGTTTTTCCCTAGGGTTAGGGTTATCTCTTGTTTGGCTGAACTTAGATTGTTCTAAGGATTGATTGGGCTCTAGCTAGCGGCTAGGGATTGGGAGAGCCAGAATCTCCTCTTGAATTGAATATCCATTGTATCTTTATTATTTTCTTCCATCAAATTCTTGTCAATTCCTATTTTTCAAATTGTTGAAATTCAAATTCAGCCTAGTGTTTTCTTCGATTTCTAATAAGTGTTTCCTAATAAGCATCCAAGCGCCATTACCAGTGTTTCAAAAATCAAAGTGGAATGGCCAATTTGACCATAAATCGATCAAGTTGTCAGTCCAGTTGAGTTTGAAAATCAGATTCGTATTGAACCGGTTTGAACCATTGGTTCAACCGAAAACCATTGAATCGATCCCAATTTTGTAGAATTAGCCAGTTCTTCAGAATATTATATTTTATTTTAATAAAATTTGTAAGAATATATTTTTTGTTTTATTAATTTTTATTTTTTAAAATTCATTTAGAAGCAAATTCAATTAGTATACATGACTGTCACCTCACACAACTTAGCTTATTACTTATGGCTTATGCATTACACTATATAAGATAATTATTTAAAACTTTCCTATGATATAAAATTAAAAAAACTATGTGAATACTGGATAAGAGTTAGGTTGTAAAATTACAGTCCGTCTCTGACATTTCGTCTCCGACATCATCCTCCAAGCCGTTCGCGAACTCGACAACAACATCATCTTGGTTGTCTGAGGCGTCATCCTTGCTTTTTCTCCTCCTATTAACACTATATGTAAGTTTTTTTAACCCTAAAATCTTTGATTCTAATTCTTATCAAATCTTTGGTTTTACGATTGAATAGATTGTTAGATCAGACAAAAAAAAAAATTAAAATGTGACGAAGGCTGATCATGCTGTTTTTGTTTTCATTCTCAATATAGGGTTTGATGCAGAGCATAAACGAATGAATGTTATTTTTTCTTTCCTTTGAACTCATTATTGCCTTTACACTTTCAGATGAATCATGTTAGATTACTCATTTACTTGCCTCTATGATCACAATGTTTCTGCTTTCATTTTCAATATAGGGCTTTGATGCAGAGCATAAACGCCTAAAGTTTTATTTGGTTTTTTTTTGCAGGGTGTTAATACACAAATGAGATTTCAACCACGTTTGGGTCGATATCTTGCAGCTGCGACAGAGAACATTGTGGCTATTATGGATGTTAAATAGAACTGGGGTTTCAACTATGAATTGCTGGTACTCATCATCGAACTGAGGTATGCATTTCTTTGTATTATATGTTATTTACTTATTAGTTTATATTTTATAGATTTTGTTGTAGTATTTTTAATTTATTTTGAGTCGTTACATATGGTTAATGAATGTCAAAATAGTGTCATAGGAATCATAGAATGTTAAATGGATACGGAGGTGAAGCTAATTTTATTAAAATTTTAATAGTATTATTATTTATTACGTCATTTGGTTCGACCCCGGTTGGACCGGTCGAACCGTGAACATCTCCTTCGTCCGGTCCGGTTTTCAAAATCTTGATAATACATATATTATGCATTTATATTAGAATTTTTCATTTTAAATTCTATTTAATATTCATATATCTATATTTATGATATACTTATATTTGGATTCACATTACTATTTATTGAAGTTTTTTAATGAGTTTTTATATCGAATCATAATTAAGCTTGTTCATTTGTCTTAATCGAGATATTTTTGTATTTACTTTTAAAAATTTTCATTTATTATATAATTTATAGTATATTGAATACTTATATTATTTTTATTATGTCATCCGGTTCAACTACGTTAAATCATTGACCAAAATCTCTGTTTATTCTGGTTACATGCGCTGATTTTCAGAACTTTGATAATTACTTGCCCACACACCCACATCACAGCTCAAACTCGTAACCTAGAAGGTCAGGACTGAAGCCCCTGCGACATGCACAGCAGGCGGGTGACTATAAATACAGAATTTTCAAGTTCAGAACTTTTCTAGCTAGATCTATGCGTCCTAATTCTAGGGCTAAGAAAATCTTCAATTTTCCCAGCAAACACTCTGACACAACACCACTACAAAACCTTTCCGTTCTGCCCTAACCTTTAGACAGCAACAAGCCCTGAAACAACGAGGAAACACAATTATGCCTAGCATCGCAACGAGTAAGTGAAAGCTCCTTAGCGGCCCCATGTTCATCATAAAAGGAATTCTTGGAAGAGTAAAAATATTCAATCAATCAGATAAAGCGAACAACCACTAATGAAAAAGAACCCTAAGGTAGGGAATGCGAATACCATATATCCCATCGAATCAAAGTAGTTGAAAATCGGTAAAATGCTGTCAAGAAAAAAGAGAGGAGGTTAAAAAAATCCTAAATCCTAGACGCAGTAACAAGCTGCGAGATTGGAGAGAAGCATACCTTGGTGCAGTTTGCCTGAGGGAATCGAAGGGTGGAGGGGCTTCTGGACTTTCGGCAGATCGACACCAAGATTTCAGCGGGATTTTATAGGCACAAAGAAGATGAAGCTATTTTTCTAAATTTATGCGACGTGAGTTTCTCCGCAGTATAATTAAGTTATTAGATGGATTTGTAAGTCAGATATTGAATAATAAAATAAAATTATTAGAGATAGATAAATATTATGAATATCTAATATTTTAATTTTTTATATAATTGTTTAATTTTATTGAGGAGTAACACATAATGTATAAAATTAAGATGCTTATCATAAAAGTAAACAAATTCTCAAATAAAACTTATTAAAATATTTAACAAAAATTTTATTCTTTTAAATAAGAACTGTCTAAAGATGTTAGGGATAGTAAAAGCATGGGATTCTAAAATTAAATATTTTTACTTTTATTTTTAAAACTAACATTCACTTGCTACTATTTATAATAATGTCAATTTTAAAGAGCTTAATAAAATTTTGATATGTAACTTTTATTTTTAATAAATTCTTAATGATTTGATCTTAGCACATATAATACATGAATTCTATAGTTCACTTTAAAAATAAATATGTTGATTTTGTAAATAAAGAAGATTTTTTAAACCTTTGAGTAAATATACGGATTAAATTTAGGCAAAAAATAATAAATTTTCTTCTTTTATGTGAATAGAAAGGTAATTCTTTAAAAAATCTACTCCACTTTAGATTCCTCAATATTCATCCATTACAGTATTGAAATGGTATTCTATATATTGGTTTAAATTTGTGTATTAGAAAACTGTTTTAAGAAATAATAAGAAAGACATCCCAAACGAAATAGTACTCATTACTAACAACTCTGCATCGACCGTAAATTACATGATTAACGTCGTTGCTCAGCATTTCTCTATGACCATGATGATCTACACTCCTTTCCTCAACATTGAAGCCATCGCTACCACCAAATGCCTTTTTTTCTATCTATATAATCAATTATGTTAATGTTTTTAACACAAGCTTCATTTCTTCTTCTTTGTTGATCTCACTCGAACCAAATAAAGACTTAAATATTTTTCTGAAATGATTTCCCTTTATCGGAAGCTCTACTTTGCCCCTACCAACCATGAACTGCAGCTTCTTCGAAAAAAAATTATGTAAAAAAGTGCGTCTCAGCAGAATATTATTTCTCGAGTGTTTGCACTAAGCTTATTTGACCTTATCAATAGAATTTTAACAGAGCAATATGATTTCCATTCATAGAATTACATCTCTATCATCTCAGTGATAAAAATAAATATCATAACATTATTAACATAAGCATAGTGAAATTAGGCTCTTATGCTTCATGCCATCAAATGCTTCAAAATCCCTTACTTTTTCAACATTAGAAGAACATAGATACATAAGCAAAGGGGATGGAAGAGTTGTAGGAAATGAAACATAATTTATAAGCCTTGCTCCTTTGGCCCTTTAACACCCATATAACTCCCCACGATGCCTATCTCCACTCTTGCTCATCCTCTTTCTCCTCGCCCTGCAAGCCATCCCGCCGTGTCCGTTACCTTTCTCGTCGATCAACGGAAGATCTGTGGGATCATCGTAATCATCATCAGTCATGATGTTGATGCAAGAGCACCGCTCCAAAGATGCAAAAAAGATGGTCGCGACGCCATTGCCAACCCAAGACGTGACTCGATCAATCATTCTACAGCTTTCTCGTTCGTGCTCGGATGTTGATCGTCGAGGCGGATTGAGCTCGGACAAGCCACATCTTGAGCTGAACAAGTCTATGCATCTCCAGGCAGAAGAAGTGGGCATGTCCTCAGAGAATTAATGCAAATGAATGGAGGGTTAGAGTTGGCTTTGGTCTTAAAAGAAGGCATCCATGTTGTTATTACAGTTGAAAAAGGAATGAATTTTTGTTTCCAGAAATGCCCTTGCTTTTGATTAGAATTTACAGCATCTTTGTGTTGCTTGATATGAGTTTCTTGAGTGGTTCGGCATCATTGGGGCCCTTAATAGGTATAAAGAAGAGAAGAAAATGATTATATGCCTAATAACTTATTTATGGATCTTAATTTATCAATCCTGAATGAAAGCTAATGCCTAATTATGATTGTTTACCCGTTAAGCATTCTAATTGCAATAATTAGTTTTGCGCTGCGCATCCTGCAAATATGAACTAAAGAATAGTAAGAGTGCAGATTTAGGTTTCGTTTGGGGCGGTTTTCTTATAGCTTCTTAAAGCATCTTTTTAGTACAAAATTATTTTTTTTTACACTAGAAAACTGCTTTAAGAAGCATTAAAAAAGCCGTCCCAAATTGGGATGATTTTTTTTTTGCTTCTCAAAATAATTTTTTAGTACATAAATTTTAAAAAATTGTTTTAAAAAGCAGGATTAAAATTAGGCTTTGTTTGAGATAGCTTTTTGACTATTTTACTTTTCTTATCACAACCACTGTTTTTATTGCTTTCAAGAATTTTTTATATTAGAAAGTTATTTTCTACAATAATTTTTAAAAGAATTATTTTATCCATAGCAGCTTCATAATTATTTTTATAAAAAATTACAGCTGTCTCAAACAAATCCTAAATCGCAATTAATTAAACATTTTGGACTCTTAAACTTCAATTAAAGCAAGCTCATTTGGCAAAGGCTATGATTTTAGGCAATTCTATGATTATTTTATATTATAGAGTCTGTTTGGGACGGCTATAACTTTTTATAAAGATGACTATAAAATTGTTCTCTGGAAAATAACATAGCTATTGTATGTCTTGATATTGGCATATCATGCTATGTCATGCTATCTTATACATAACATGTATTTCACATAAAATTTATGTCGAATATAAATTAATATTATGATGAATGTGAGGAGCAATGCTCTTTATCTAATGAAGATTTTGTATGATGACACATCATAGTCCATCATTCTAGTGGAAGCCCACTTAATTATTGATATCAGACATCATTTTAATTTATATTAAAATCTTCAGAAAAAAAAAAACTTCACTTATTAAATTTATTTTTAGATAAATAATATATGTAAATAGTTTGTATAACACTAATTTTAAAATAGACCAAATAATTTGAAATTTTATTACAATTTAAAATTTGATGAAATTATCTTATGATTAAATTAAAAAATAAAATAAAATAATTAAATTAGAAAAAAAGTGAAGCGTATTTATTATCATAAACATTTTTGCCAACAGGTCTGATTTTCGAACTCGAACTCAATCTGCTTTGGGTTCGGGTCACCCTAAACAATACTCGTAAGTCAATGTCAGCCATATGTTTGCAAGCTTATTTATCCAAATCCCGCAGGCGAAGGCTCCATTAGTGCGCTTATTCAGGTAGTGGCAGCGCCATTACTTCTGATCTTGTCATTGTCGCGATCTCGGACTCTCGAGATGAACCCCAATGCTGATCGGCAGCAACAGCGTTGTTACTTCCGATCTTGTTATCGTCGAGGTCTCGGACTCTCGTGACGAAGCCAAATGCAGGCCAACAGAGGGATTGACAACGACAGCTTGGGCGCCAGCGGCATCAGCAAACGGACTTTACAGACGGTGACATATGCGGCATGAATGCGACGGACGTGACCCGGGTCAAACGAACGCGACAAATGGTTCCCGGGTTGTTTCCAGGTAAATCCTACCCAATTTTACAAATGGGTTGAAAATTTGAAATCTCTAACCCGAGCCCAAAATTTTTGTGTTGGGTTTGGGTCAGATTTTTGAATCGTATCAAATATTGACACCCCTATAGAAAGCTACCGAGCAAAATTAAAATTTCCAATTAGGATTGCATAATGTAAGTTAATAAAGAATATTTTGTAATGATATGATAAGATAAGGCATGAATGTGCTCCCAATAATTTCAAAGCACATCTAAATCACAAAAATTAGTGACCTAACCTTTTCTTAAAAGTCGATGCCCGTCTAGCTTTTGCCTTTGGATTAGAGTAATGTTCATCACGCCTAAAATTAAATAATAAAAAATTGCAAATGATTGCGCACAAATATCTTGCAAAAAAAAAAAAAAAGTTAAAGGCCCTTTGGGATCATTGTATATTTTGCTTTTGGTTATTTTTTAAATTGAATATTACATAAGAGATAGGGATGAAATCAGAAAGAGCTAGTCCTAAAATTTTATTTTTAGTAAATATTTTAATTAATTTGTCCATCTCAATAAATGCAATTGCACAATTTTTATGAAAATATTTATTTTTTATTTCATACATAAAATTATGCATTTCATAATCTTATTTTGTTTATTGTCAAAAGATAGATCGGTTTTGCCTCTGAATTAAGAGATTATTAGACTACGGTGATCAATGGCTCGCGATGAGGGGTGCATCCAAGATAGTTTTAATTTAAGAATTTCGGAAATACCTAAAATGACCTTTTTTAGTATTTTAAAAATAATTTGATTTATTTTTGAAGTAAAAGATAGAAACAACTGAAAATGGAAATAAAATTTGTTGAAAGATATCATGATATGTTTTGCACTTAGATTAATGTGACCCTTGTGTATCAAATCAAATACTAATCTCAGTACAAATTTTAAGGACTTTGGAGTCCATTTTGATGCAAACATTTTTTAAAAATAAATTCTTAGCTTAAATAGAAGTAAAAAAGAGGATAAAATAGTAAATCCACTTTATTCAGCCTTGAATTATGTCAAAGGAACATTATTATTATTATTATTTTCTTTAATGTCTAGCAATCAAGGGTTTTATTTTTTAGATATAAAGACTCATTCGAGAAAAAGAATCAATGTGATTGTTGCGTCCTGGAATATTCGCGGCGGTAAAGAAATATATGGTTTAACGTCTTAGCATTGTACGAAGATCCAGCACACAATCAGATAAGTGAGAGGGTGTAGAATTCATAAGAGACACCAGAGTTTTTACGTGGAAAACCCCTGAAAGGCTCGAGATTCGTGCCCAATCAAGCTAATTTTGTGATAACGTATCAGTGATATTACGAAAAAAAATAAAAAATTCCTTTCCTTCCAATAATCTGTTGTGTCTTAACTACCATTAATTTACAAGAACTTTCAACAATGAGAGTCACATTCTACTTCCTTTGTGATAGATGGTGCTTAGTTCACAATGG